GGGGTTTTAGATGCAAGATCCACCAATGTGTGCATAGAAATACTTGGGTTAAAGCTTGTTCATATGTTCAAATTCACTGGTACCCACCAGGATTGGAAGATGTGAATGTCTTTGAGAAGCAGCCAAGGTGGTCACGGTGTTTTCAATGGCATGAAGTAACCTAACAATAACCAGGGTAAGATGTTCCTTTTGAGTTGAGTCTGCAGTGGATGGAAGGTGGTGGCGATGCCTGTGCTGGCCATTGAGTGCTCCGAGTGCTCCTCGAGGAAGAGCATCACAGAATCGTGGAATGGTTTGGGTTGGAAGGACCTTAAAGCTCATCCCAGCACAAGCATTTTCATTTCCCTTCTTGTGCTGCTTGGAGATCCCCTGTGCAAACGTGCTTTGAGTGGCACGTTGGCCTGCTCATGGCATGGTGGCCACCCGACCACCGACCTCTCTTGTATTGCTGTTTGCCCTTCATCAAGTCATTTCCTAGTGCAGTGGGAGCATGTCATGCACTTGCATAGGGAAGAGAAAAGGGATGAAAATGTAACCAGGTTACAGGCAGAAAGTATCCTGAGACTGTTTGCTAACAGCTTATTCCCATGGCATTCCTGCTGGAGCTCCTCCTTCAGCTCCTTGCTGGAGCCTCAGCAGCTTGTGAGCATCACTGTTGGGGGGATTAGGATGCAGGGGAAGCTCTGTGCAATAGAGAAATACTGGTGTTTGCCTGTTTATAATGAATTCCTGTTGGTCTTTTCGTTGTGTATTCATGGCCACAAGCAAGTGCTGCAAGTTATTGGGGTGAAGGAGGTTTAATTTTGCTAATCCTGTTTTATTCCCATTCCATTGTAGCTTTTCGAATGGCACAATGTGGTGCCTGTAATGACTTTTAAATGGATTTTGGGATGATATTGTCTTGCAGGATGTATTGGAAGCTCATCTAAATGTGCTTTAATGCTAGATTCTGGAAAGAAAGAAAAGCATCCATCTGAAATGCTGTTTGCATGAACTCCTTCGTGCTGGCTGGAGATAACACCCTGCATACCAAGCAGAGACGAAGCACCAGCCTCTTCCTCACAATGCACTCAAACCCCTGTAATGATTATAATCTTTGTATCCTAGCTAAAAAGCATTTTCTTTCTTCCTTCTCACTAAGAGTGTTTTACCATTTACCTAAAGCAAGCCAGATGGATGCAGTAGTTCTCACCAAATTATGATTTATTTGTACTCTTGACACCCAGAAAATCATAGAATCATGGAATGGTTTTGGTTGGAAGGAACCTTAAAGATCTGAAATGGTGTCACAGCTGCATTGCTTAAGTGCCTTGTTCGGTGCTGTTACCACTTCATCTGGGCTACATCGGCCTTCCAGTGCCCAAAGGGGCTCCAGGAAAGCTGGAGAGGGGCTTGGGACAAGGGCCTATAGGGCCAGGCCAAGGGGAATGGCTTGAACCTGCCCGAGGGGAGACTGAGCTGAGCTCTTAGGCAGAAGCTCTTCCCTGGGAGGGTGCTGAGGCGCTGGCACAGGGTGCCCAGAGAAGCTGTGGCTGCCCCATCCCTGGCAGTGCTCAAGGCCAGGTTGGACACAGGGGCTTGGAGCAAGCTGCTCCAGTGGAAGGGGTCCCTGCCCATGGCAGGGGTTGGAACTGAAGGAGCTTTAAGGTCCCTTCAACCCAAACCAGGCTGGGGTTCCATTATTTAATGATACATTAAGAACTGGTGTGGGGATCTCCCAATGTTCCCAGGCATACAGCACCATAGGCACATTTGTTGGGAGCATGGTCCAGTGTCAGGCATCATACTCTTAGTTGGGTGTCCAGGCCATGAAAACTGAGCCTGGATATTGGTTTTCCTCTTGGGCACACAAGGATGGCTGCATGGTTGAAGGTCCTTGCTGCCTAAAAGCCTGTCTGAAAGGGTGTCTGGGCAAGAGGAGGAATTGCTCTATCCCTTGGGATGCTTTCCAAATGCCACCATCTTGGCTGCAGGGGACGCACTGAGGCAAGCAGCTTGCTTTGAACCTACAACACCCTTACTTCTTCTGATGCCTCCGCTTGCTTGGGTTATGAGAAGGAGTGTGTGATTGCTGCCCCTCCACCTTCCCCAGGGCATCTGTGGTTTAGTGTCTATAAATGCCTGTCACACTCCCTGCCCCACTGGGCATTTCTTGTCTGGGCTTGAAGAGTCCTAGTAGTGATTTAACAGTTAATTATAGCCAGGAAATCTCTGCAACCCTCTAACACCTTTGTCTCTCAAGTCCTATTTGTGACATCTACTACTTGAAGCATCTTGACTAGTAGTAACCCTGGGCTATATGTATTCCTAGTGTTTCACTTCAGAACTGAACTGCCCTTTGAAGGTGACTCCCATTGACTGGTTGTTTCTGTCTATGTAGTGAGCTTGGCGTGTGGGGACCAGATTCCTTCCAGAGCTTCACTCCAGTTGCCTGTCACACATTCTCCAATGTCTCTTGGGACCCAGAAATCTGTATCGGTGGTGGCCATACTGGTGATGTCCCTTAGGCAGTGTCAAACCATGTGTCAGCTGGGGCCCAGGCTGCAAACCAGACTAAATCTGGTTCAAAGGAAGACCTCGATGTGCAGAGGGTGTAACCAAAGGAATCTTAGCACAAAGTGCTTTGATTGCCTGATCATGTCTGATTGAATCATTGAATCCCAGGTTGAAGGGACCTCAAGGATCATCTGCTCCAAGCTTTCCAGGCACAGCATGACCCAGACTGGATGCCCAGCACCCTGTGCAGCCCCATCTTAACAGTGTCCAGCACTGGGGAGTCACCGCTTCCCTGGGGACATTATTCCAATGGCTGCTTGTTCTCATTGGGAGGCATTTCCCTCTTGTGTCCAGTGGGAATCTCCCCAGCAGTAACTTGTGCCCATCGCCCCTGGGCTTCCCCATGGGACTCCTTGTCCAAAGGGAGTCTCCATCTTCCCTGTAGCCCCCCTTTAACTCCTGGCACAGACTGAGCTGAGCTCTTAGGCAGAAGCTCTTCCCTGTGAGGGTGCTGAGGCGCTGGCACAGGGTGCCCAGAGGAGCTGTGGCTGCCCCATCCCTGGCAGTGTTCAAGGCCAGGTTGGACACAGGGGCTTGGAGCAAGCTGCTCTAGGGTAAGGTCCCTGCCTGTGGCAGGGGTTGGAACTGGATGAGCTTTAAGGTCCCTTCCAACCCAAACCAAGCTGGGATTCTATGAAGATGGAATTTGTTGTAAGCAGTGATGTCTAGGTGTCACATAATGCATGTTCCCTATCTCAGAGATGGATGACATTGGGTTTTACCCTGAAAAGGAGAACTGAAGCCATAAGGCAAGGATCCATTTGCCAGGGACTGGCTCACAGCACAGCCTGGTGACACGAGGACCAAATGGCCCTAAAATCCTTATCCTGGAACGTAAATCCCAGCTCTAATGTCTCATGGATGGAAAGTGTTGTGTTCATTTTCCTCTTGGTCTTACGTTAGTGATTTACTCATGAAATCTATGTCCTCTTCCAGCATTTTTCATCTCTGTGACTCCCTTTGCTGTGGGAATTGCTCCTTCTGGGCTAACTCGGGGGTGGAGGGATGGCCAAATAATTTAGCAGTGAGTGTTGTCAAGTCCCTTGGTGCCAGCGTTTACCATTTGACTCCTTTCCTATCCTGAGGTGAAGAGGAAGGAGGAAATGCCCTAACAAATTGCCCATCCATCAGGAGAGGCTTGCTCGGGAAGAATGGGTTTAGGTAGGAAGTGTCAGATAATACATTTAGAGACAAAACCCTCGCGTTTTGCAGCAAGAGCGCTGAGCTTCGTGTGTGAAGTTGTCACTCGATGGCGGTGGAGACAAATGGGGAGCCTAATAAAGCTTAATGACTGATTTTCCCATTCATCAGAAGTGAGAATGTGCTTCATTAAGATAATTAACTGAGCCGCTTGCTTCGCTGACAGTGAGGAGACACGAATTCCCAAGTTCCTGGCTTTCCTCTAAATAAAACAAGGAGCAAACCCAGCCCTGCCTCATCATCCGTACTGGGGGAGAAGCACAAAGGCTGTTAAAATCTCATTGCTCCTCAGAGCAGCTTCCAGTGTCTGAAGGGGGCTACAGGGATGCTGGAGTGGGACTCTTTAACAGGGACTGTAATGGTAGGATAAGGGAGAATGGGTTCAAACAGACACAGGGGAGATTTAGGTTGGATCTAAGGAAGAAGCTCTTTATTGGAACAGAAACAGCCTGCCCAGAGAAGCTCTGGCTGCCCCATCCCAAGGCCAGGTTGGACACAGGGGCTTGGAGCAAGCTGCTCTAGTGGAAGGTGTCCCTGCCTATGGCAGGGGTTGGAACAGGAGGAGCTTTAAGGTCCCTTCCAAGCCAAACCAGGCTGCAATTCTATGGTTCTATGCTTGTCTTTGATCTGTGGCTGCATCTCCCCATGTGGGACATGGGATGTGGACCCTAGTGGTGGGGTGTGATGGGGGCACTGGGCACTCAGCTCAGCCTCACACAGGACCCCAGCCTTGGGCTCAAACTTATTGGAGCCAGCTCACACTGAGAGCTCCCACATGTTTGCCACCCTCCATCTCACCAGCAGCAAATGGTCTTTTATCTGAAAGGTCAAGTCTGCGCTGGGGTTGTTTTTATCACCCAGCAATGACGAGCTCCTCAAGCAGGGAGAATTCCTTGCCTGAATCTCCACCTTCTCCTCTTTGTTCATGGCAAGCCAGAAGTGGGGTCATGAGTCCGGACCCCTGAAGGCAGGGATGTGTAAAATTAATCTGCTCTGGGTACGTTTGTAGGCAGAATATACAGCAGTGAAGAAGTTTGGGGAATTAACTGAGAGCTCCATAACCTCAATTATTAAATATGCTATGTGGTTGTAATGCCTCACTGTAAATCCTTCCCTTCGCAGCTCTTCGTGTCCTGAATTATAACGCAGTGATTCTATCATGTAGCAAGAGACTCTCTGCAAGAAGATACCTCTGGAGCTAACGTAAAGCAATCGTCTCACCTCTGCTTTTCTTTTGTCCTCAGAGTTCCCAGTCTTCCATCATGAACCCTGTTTACAGCCCCGTCCAACCTGGGGCTCCCTATGGAAACCCGAAGAACATGGCATACACAGGTAGGACCAGTGTCCAATGGCTCTTCCATCTATGTCTGTACTCAGTGCTGGGAGCAGATGATCATTAATGCATGCTTCATCCCTTAATGAAGGGAGAAAGAGTTCCCATAGGGAGCCAGATGGGAATGTGGCTTGTAGGGAAAGCTCTTCAGCAAAGCCAGTGCAGTAGAGGTTAGTGAGGAGAACTGGATCTGAATTCATAAGGTAAGGATGTCCTGGAAATCCTAAAGAAAAGGGTCAAAAGGGGGGTTCTTTAGACCAACAAAACACACAAGGAGTTGCTGGAGGTCTTATATGGACCTGAACTGAGTGTGAGCGTGTGCTGGAGTCATTCTCCTGCGGAGGTGCAGGTCCCATAGACACTGGGATATATTGTTGTTACAGGTGGTGATTTAAGTGCCATGATTACGGATCTTGTTTTGCATTCACATTATGCTTTGCTTGAGTTCTTCTTGTGTTGATCAGCAAGGCTGAGGTCTGGTTCAAGTCTGTCTTCAGAACCGCGTTGTCTAAAATGTCATTTTGAACACTTGAAAAGGACATGGAAATATGTGTACCATAATTATGTTATTAGTGGGGAACCAAAGTGTATTGATACGGAAAGAACTGAGCTCAGAGAGGAGCAATGCTTCAGAAGAAGAAAACCTCAGCTGAGGTGTGTCTGTGGTTTTCCCTATGGATTATGTTCATCATGTCTTCTTCTGCTGTGTGAACTCCCTACTAAACCAGCCTTGGGAGACTCCTTCTAACACTTCAAGTGTCATGTTGTGCTAAGACTTACCTTTGCATTGCCAGTTGCATGTGTTGGCTTCTACCTAATGTGTGAAATCGCTTGGGAATGGGCTTTTGTGGAGCAGGATGGTCAACAGCAAAGGGAAATCAATGTCAGATGATCTCAGCTACTTCATTTACAATATATCCTCACTGACTTAGGTGGCTCTTTCAGCTGGTACATCAGTAGGGCTGTGAGGAGACCTGTCTGAGACCCTGGGGAGCAGAGTTCCTCAAAGGTGTTTTGCCCTGTTCTTATTCACCCTTTCTTTTCCCCCATCAAATTGACGCATGCTGCTTTGTTGCAGATACAGGAGCTTGGGGGACCTTTGGTCTCACGGTCAAAACACAAGAGGCTTGCAAAAGAAAATGTCTCTGTGAGTAACAGGCTCTTCAAAACTATCCCTATTGTGAGAGGACTGCAGGCTCCAGCAGTGCTTGGGTGATTGAAGGAGCTCAGGAGTGCAGTTATTTTCCTATACTAGAAGTACAAGCAGTTTTGTGCTTTTCAGCACAAGGAGGGTTTGGACAAGAGTCTGCTCCTCTCCCACTTTTCCTTTTGGTGTGTGCTCAAAGCTCCCCCTTAATATCCATTCAGAGTAGATTTTCTCTGTGTGCTTTCATACAAAAGTGAATGTTGAAGAAGCTTTCTGACACTTGCTAAGACAATTCTATTTCAGTATTGAGGTGTGGGTTGGGTGGAGTTTGTACCTTGAGCCTTCTGGAAGGAGAATTTCAGAGGGTGATCTCAGGTTTAGGTGAATGTATTCCACATGACTGCATTCTGAAGTCATTGCCCCTCACTGCAAGAGAGACACTGAGGGGCTGGAGTGGGGCCAGAGAAGGGCAGCGGAGCTGGTGCAGGGCCTGGAGCCCAAGTGTGATGGGGAAGGGCTGAGGGACCTGGGGGGTTCAGTGTGGAGAAGAGAAGGCTCAGGGGGGACCTGATGGCTGCCTGCAAGTGCCTGAGAGGAGGATGGAGCCAGGAGGGGCTGGGCTCTGCTCCCAAGGAACAAGGGATGGGACAAGAGGAACCGGCCTCCAGCTGCACCAGGGCAGGTTTAGATGGAGCTGAGGAACAATTCCTGCCCCAGAGGGTGCTCAGGCATTGGAACAGGCTGCCCAGGGCAGGGCTGCAGGGACCGTCCCTGCAAGGGTTCACACCCCATGGAGACGAGGCCTCAGTGCCATGGGGCAGTGGTGGCCTTGGCAGTGCTGGGAACGGTTGGACTGGATGATCCTGAAGGTCTTTTCCAACCTGGTTGATTCTGTGATTCTGTTCTAAGTTGAGCATCAACATTAATAGGATGTTAGCTTCTAAAATAACATGTTGGTCAGTCACTCCAATGCACTTCAATGCATAAAGCTGCTGCCCTCCTTGGCCAGCTTGTGCCACCTCTGGTAGTGCTCATGGTGAGGTGGCCCCCATGAGTCTGGTTTCACCCCAACGCATTGGACTTGAGGCATTTGTCTTCCAGAGGCTGTGGTGTATGAAGAGGAATCAGGGCAGATGTGCAGGAGGAGCTTGGAGGAATAAAGCTGGAGGCAGATGAGGCTTGAAAATCTATAAGAAGGTCCTTAGTTATGTCAGTGGAAATCCAAGAGGAAAGATTCAAGCGACTGCTTGAACATAGGACATCGAAGCAGGAGTTGAATCATGTTAATACTTGGTTTTCCCATTCCACAGGTTTAAGGTAAGGAGTCAGGGGGCTGAATTCCTACAGTTAAGTCCCAAAGTAGAGAATAGGTTAAGAAGTGTTTAAACAAAGAACTATTTTCCTTGCTAGGCAAATAGTATTAGAAAAGCATTTAAATATGAATTTGTTGGAATACTTAACGAAAGACCTAAAGTTGTATTTTCTTCCCTTCTTTTGCAATATAAGTTTTATTCTTTGTAGAGAAAAGAGGCAACTCCCCTTTGGAAGTTATTGAAAGAAGGTTGCTGAGTCTCCTGCATGACAGGCTCTGTCTACCTAATTCTTGCATTCTGTGCTTCATTTCTATTGCTTCAACTTGTGTCGTTTAGCTGTGGATCAGTTTCTGATGTAGCCACAAGCTGTTCTGGAGGATAATTAAACACATAGAGCTAAATAAAATAGACCTTTCACAGGAGAAGCATAAAGTTCAGGATTAGTAGATGCTTCCACCTCAAATTGCTTTGAAAATTGCTTTTGGGAATGGCTTGAACCTGCCCGAGGGGAGACTGAGCTGAGCTCTTGGGCAGAAGCTCTTCCCTGGGAGGGTGCTGAGCTGGAGGAGCTTTAAGGTCCCTTCCAACCCAAACCAGTCTGGGATCCTATGACATGGAGAGAATAATCTCACTGCAAATGTGTCCAGCACCAGGTTTGTGCTCCAGCAAGTCCTGGTTCCTTGTGCTCGGCTGGCGACTGCTTCCACTTCGCTACTTCAGTGGATTTTAGACCATCAGCAGAAGCAGTGTTTGAGTGCTGTTTCCTATTTAATTAGACCAGACTGTAATTAACGTGGAGCTTCTGTAAGCTGTCATTTCAGTTGAGTTTAAGGGCTCTCATTTGTTTTTGCCTTACTGGTACAATTCACTTTACCTGCCCCAATGTGAGCTCCTGAACCTCCTGCTTTTCCTTTCAACGTTCTCCTTGTGTCCGCTTTTACTTAGGCATCAGTCCTGCAGCAAGTAGAGCGGCTCGATGGTGTGGAATCAGGGATGAAGAAGCAGTGTGCCCTGTAGCTTGTTTGACTTCAAGCATGAAGCTCTACAAGTGTTTGTTATAGCTCACACTATTAGCATTTTCCCTACCAGAAGGTGATTAATATGCAGATGAGCTGCTGTGATTGATGAACCTTCAGTAGAGTGGCTCTGGAGCTGTCATAGTTACGACTGGGTAATAAATGGTACTGAAATCCAAGAGGCAAAGATGGGAAGCAGCGTATTATATCTCCAAGCAATGTTCTCCAGCTTGAGAAGGGGGAATGGCTTTAACCTGCCCAAGGGGAGACTGAGATGAGCTCTTAGGCAGAAGCTCTTCCCTGGGAGGGTGCCGAGGTGCTGGCACACGGTGCCCAGAGAAGTGGTAGGATGTAAAGCCTGGGAATCCCAATGGCATTGTGTGAATGTGTTGGATACCCTCATTCCTTCTCCCAGGGCTTTTCCTGCTTTGCCAGGTGGAGCCCCCAGCCTCCCCATGTCTTTGCAGCAGGAATTCCCTTGTCTCCTTTGCTACTCAGCCTTGTCTCTTTTACTCAGTTCCTTTTTCTGTCTTGTATCTATCATGGATTCAGGGTTGTGCCATGGATCTTCTGCTGCTTCTCCACTTGTTTTTTGCCATGGGAAGGACTGGAAGTTAGCACCCTCCAACACCCCCTTCCCTGCCTTTATAGGAAGGATTCTCAGGCAAGCCCCTCTGCTGCTCTCCTGGTCCTTCTCCTTCTTGCATCTCATTCCCTGGAGTCTCTTGCTCCATCCCAGCTCTTTTCCCTTCCCTCTTGCAGCCTGACCCAGCTGGCAGGCACTTGGCAGGCCCGGGAGAGCTGGATTCATTTCACCAGGAGGAACCTGATGCCTTTTAACAAAAGGGCTTTGTGTGACTGGGGTCTGTTTAGCTGCCATTCCCAAGTGGATTAACCTGGATTGCCCAGGGGTACTTGTAGGGAACCTCTGCAGCACATAAATGTGTAATAACTGTTCAAGGGGAGGTGCTTGGCAAGTTTCTGGGAAGTATTTTGGGAAGCAGAGGAGCCTAAAGCAAGGAAAACTTGGAATCACATTTACAATTCATCTGTGATGGTCCTGCAAGAGCCAGTACGTTCTTCCTCATCTGAAAGCATAAAATAGTCTTATTTCTGATGATTTAAGGGGAGGTCCTGGGGAAAAGCTTGATCATTTGTATGTAAAGTCTGGTGTCTCCCTGAGTCACTTGTCACCCTGCGTTACACTATCTGCAAGGTCTGGGTTCATTAGCTTTCCCATTTAATTGCTCTTCCTCCTTCTTTTCAATGGCAACCTCTCTGTGGGGCTCCTGAGAGCATCGAGAAAGATATGAGGGTAATGTCATTTTAACTGATGGGATAATGCCCATGTGGGGTTATAGCTACAAGATTCTGTGACAGAGGATAGGTGAGGCTGGTAGGGAAATAGCTGAGTCATGGAATCCCAGCCTGGTTTGGGATGATGGGACCTTAAAGCCCATCCACCTCCAACCCCTGCCACAGGCAGGGACCCCTTCCACTAGAGCAGCTTGCTCCAAGCCCCT